AAGGGATCAAAATTAGATAAAATATGTTCTTTGAACACAATGAAATTAAATTAGAAATCAACAACAGAAAGATAGCTGGAAAATCACCAAATATTTAGAGACTAAAGAAAAACACTTGTAAATAATCCATGGGTCAAATAAAAATCAAAAGGAAAATTTTAAAGTATTTTAGACTTAATGAAAATGAAAACACAGTATATCAAAATTTTTAAGATGCCGCTAAATCAGTATGTAAAGGGAAATTTACAGCACTAGATGCTTATAATAGAAAAAGCAGAAGGTCTCAAATCAGTGACCTAAGTTATCACCTTAATAAACTAGAAAAAGAAGAGTAAATTATACCCAAAGGAATCAAAAGGAATAAAATAATAAAGACAAGAGAGAAAATCAATGAAATAGAAAACAGAAACACAACAGAGAAAACCAATAAAAACATTCTTTGAGGAAAACAATACATTTGACAATCCTCTAGCCAGACTGGTCAGGAAAAAGAAAAGACACGAAGTACTAATATCAGCAGTGAGAGCGGGTACAGGGATACAGATCCTACAGACATTAAAAGGATAGCAAGAGTATATGATGAGCTTAATGGGGTGCCTGGGTGGCTCAGTCAGTAAAGCGTCTGACTCTTGATTTGGGATCAGGTCATGATCTCAGGGTCCTGGGATGGAGCCTCATGTCAAGACCTCCATGTTCAGCAGGGAGTCTGCTTGAGGATTTTCTCTCTAACTTTCTCTCTCTGCCCCTCCCCCATGTCTCTCTCTAATAAATAAATCTTTAAAAAATGATCTCTAAATATAACTACTATTCTTTGTAAGCTATTTATTTAAAACAAATTTGAAAATCTTTCCTTTTTTAAGTAAACACCAATACTGTGATTTTGGAGGAAAAAGCCTAAAGAAAAAGAACAATACAATTATTCCAGTAGATGCAGAAAAAAAGCTTTGACAAAATTTAACATCTGTTCATGGTAATAAAAAACTCTCAGCAAATTACAAATAGAAGAAAATTTTCATCACCTGATAAAGGATATCTATAAAAGGTTTACAACTAACTTCATGCTTTATAGTGAAAGACTGAATGCTTTCTCCCTAAGATCAGATACAAGACAAGGATGTCAGTGCTCACTCCCTGAACATCATATTAGAGGTCCTAACCAGAGCAATAGGCAGGAAAAATAAATAAAAAGAATACCCACTGGAAAGGAAGAAAAGACATAAACATCTATGTAGAAAACCTGGAAGAATTTACAAGAATAATAAGTGAATTTACAACCAACAAGGTTGTAAGATATGAGATCAATTGGCAAAATTCATGTGTACACACAATCAGCTAAATGAAAACCCAATGGCAATTCCTTTTTAGAAAATGCAAAAATCAATTGTATTTGTATATATTAGCAATGTGCTATTGGAAAGTGAAATAAAAAGAACCGAAATCATTTACAGTAGGATCAGAAATATGACATTTTTAGAGATAAATCTAACAAAATATGTGCAAGATTCTTACACTGAAAACTACAAAACACCAATGGAAAAAAAATCAAAGGAGATCTAAACAAAAAGATGTATCATGTTCATGGATTGGGAAATCTCACTCATGTTCAGGTTGTAATTCTTCCCCTAAATAATTACATATTTAATGTGATTCCAATCAAAATCCCAGTAAGGTGTTTTATAGAAATCAATAAGCTGATTCTAAATTTATATGGAAAGATAAAAGAATTAAAATTACCAACATAATTTTGAAAAGGAAGAAAATTAGAAGACTCATACAACCTGATTTTAATAAAAATTTAATAATAAAGTAACAGTTATCAAGACAGTGTGGCACTGGTGAAAAGATAAATATATAGGTTAATGGAACAATTTTAAGAGTCCATTAGTAACATTAATGGTTAGCTGATTTTTTACAAAGGTGCAAAGACAAGTCAATAGAGGCAGGATAGTCTTTTTAACAAATGGAGCCAGAACATATAGGTGTCCATATGCCAAAAAAAAAAAAAAAAGAATCTTGACCCATATCTCACACTATTTATAAAAATTAACTTAAAATGTAACATATACTTAAAAGTAATATTTAAAACTATAAAAATTCTAGAAGAAAACATAAGAGAAAATCTTTGAGACTTTGCACTAGGCAAAGGTTTGTTAGATAGAACACCAAAATCATGATCCATAAAAGAACTGATAAATTGGACTTCACCAAAATTAAAAACTTCTGCCCTTTTGAAAGACACTTGTAGGTGAATGAAAAAACATGCCACAGACTGGGAGACAATACTTACATCTGATAAAGGACCTGTATCCAAAATATACAGAAATTTCTCAAAACTCAATAAAATAGACAACATAATATTTAAAATGTGCAAAAGATTTGAACAGACACTTCACCAAAGAGGATATACCATGGAAAACAAACCCATGAATATATGTTCAATATTATCAGCAATTAGGGAAGTGCAAATTAAAATCACAATGAGATCTTATTACAAATCTGTCAGAATGACTTAAAACTCAACACACACACACACACACACACACAAAACCCCAACCGAAAAATGGGCAGAGGATCTGAATAGATATTTTTCCAAAGAAGACATACAGGTGGCCAACAGACACATGAAAAGGTACTCGAAATCACACTAATCATCAGGGAAATGGCAAATGAAAACCTCAAGAGATTATGTGACAGCAGTCAGAATGGCTAGAATCAAAAAGGCAAGAAATCACAAGTGTTGGTGAAGATGTAGAGAGAAAGGAACCCTTGTGCACTGTTGGGATTGTAAATTGGTGCAGCTACTGTGGGGAACAGTATGGAGGTTCCTTTAAAAATTAAAACTAGAAATACTATATGATCTAGTAATTCCACTACTGGGTATTCACCCAAAGGATACAAAAACACTAATTCAAAGGGATATAGGCACCCCTATGTTTACAGCAGCATTGTTTATAATAGCCAAGACAAGGAAACAACCCAAGTGTCCATCCATAGATGAATGGATAAAGATCACACACACTCACACACACACACTCACACACACAATGGAATATTACTGGACCATAAAAAAGAATGAGATTTTTGCCATTTGTGGCAACATGGATGGACCCTAGAAGGTGTTGTGCTATGTGAAATAAGTCAGACAGAGAAAGGCAAGTGGTGCATGATTTCACTTACATGTGGAATCTAAAAAACAAAAGAAAGAAAAAGAAAGAAAGAAAGAGAAAGAGAGAGGGAGAGACGGAGGGAGGAAGGGAGGAGGGAGGAGGGAAGGAAGGAAGAAAGAAGCCAACCAACCAACCAACCAACCGAAAAACAGACTTAAATACAGAGAACATCAACTGATAGTTGCCAGAGGGAAAGTGGGGGGGGGAGGAATGGTGAAATAAAGGGCACTAAGGGGTACAAACTTCCAGTTATAAAATAAGAAAGTCATGAAAATGAAAAGTACAGCATAAGGAATACAGTCAATAATATTGTAGTAACATATGGTGATAAATGGTGTCTACATTTATCGTGATGAGCACTGAGTAATGTACGGAAATGCTGAATCACTGTTACACACCTGCGACTAATATTACATTGTATGTTAACCATACTTCAATTAAAAAAAAAATCTTTATGTAAATGCTGATTGCAGCTTTATTTGTTATCACCCCAAACTGGAAACAACCCGAATGTCTTTCAAATGGTGAATGGATAAACAAACAGTGGTACATCCATACAATGGAATACTACTCAGCAATAAAAATCAAAGGAACTCCTGATACACAATGCAGATGAATCTCACTATATACTCTGATTCCACGTATACGACATTCTGGAAGAGGCAAAACTATATGGATAGAAGCAGTGGTTGTCAGGAGGTGGGAGAGGGCTTGATAACAAAGTGGCTCAGGGTGGTGATTGGGGGTGATGGAACTGTTCTATATCACGCTCGTGGTGGTGGTTACAGGACTGTGGGTGTTTGTTAAAACTTGGAGAATTGTACACTAACAAGGATGAATCTTACTGTAGGTAAGTTATACTTTAAATATTTTTTAATGGAAAAATTTAAAAACCTCAGGGAGGAAACCCAGGGAAATTTTTGTGTAAGCCTCTATATGATGGAAAACCCTCTCCCCTAAGCCCTGTTCCTGAGAGCATGACAGAGTGTGGTGGCCTTATGTTCGGCATTCAAGGGCATATTCCAACAGCAGGGCTACAGGTCTTGGCTCAGGAATGGGTGGGGAGAGTCAGGACTTTTTCGGACCAGAGGAGGAGACAAATCAGCCCCTCTTAAGCACTTGCTGGGAGGAGCAAAGCAGACCCTCGGGCGGGTACCACACTGGCGGGGGGGCCTGCATTTGGACACCAGTCTCCTTGGCAGAGGTGGGCTTCATGTGAAACTAATGAAGCTTAAAATCGGGGCTCCTCACATATATAGTCTCCTTCTTGGAAGGGGCTCTAGAAATGTGTTCACATGGCCATATATTTTTATAAAAACTGCAGAAGTAGATACTTTAACCACAATCATTTAAGGTCAGTGTCTTTTGCCATTCTAACTTCCTCTTGTTCACAGTATTCCTCCTGGTACACGTCCTCCCCTGACATTAGAGGGGCCACAAATAATTTAATTAAAATCGTTTACAGGGGCGCCTGGGTGGCTCAGATGGTTAAGCGTCTGCCTTCGGCTCAGGTCATGATCCTAGGGTCCTGGGATCGAGCCCCACATCGGGCTCCTGGTTCAGCGAGGAGCCTGCTTCTCCCTCTGCCTCTGCCTCTCTCCCTGCTCACGCTATCTCTCTCTCTCTGTATCTCTGTGTCTCAACTGAATAAATAAAATCTTTAAAAAAAAAAATCGGTTACAAATATATCAACTTCTGCATTATTTTTCTTTGGAAGGGTCCCTCTCCACCCTTGCCCCCAGTCATGAGTAAACCTCAAGACCCCTCGCCCCCTGGAGGCCTTGCTCCTTCCTGACCGCAGCCCTAGGAAGACTGGCTCTCCGATGTACTCACCTTCCGGTTGAAACGGTCCGTGGTGACCTGATGGGTCAGGTGAGTCACATTCAGCATCACCAGACAGAATGGGGGCCAGTTCAGGTGCCCCTGCAGAGAGATCCCAACCCTCATCAACTTGGAGCCCAGTCCTTGTTGCCTCCTCCCCCTGGGGAGCCACTCCGGGCACACTTTCCCTGCTACCCCCTCTCAGTATGCCGGGGGCACTGGTTGAGGCTGTGCAGATGGTGCACGGAATCCCATGGAACATTTCTGGTTCTACTTGACCTCCTATAAGCCCAGCCAAGAAAAAGCAAAAACAAACCAAAAAACCTGCCTCCTTCCACCTGGCTCATGAGAATGCCCTAGCAGGTGATTCTCTGCAGCCAGCGTCCTTGGCCACAGGCCACATCCCTGGAGTGGCATCCGAGCTCCTCTGCACTTGGGTGCCTCCCACCTGGGCGTAGGCCGCTGGGACAAGCTGGGAATGGTGCAGGCCCCCGGAAGGGCCACGAGGTGGGGCACTCCACGAACCCTTTCTCCACACGGCCATTCCGGGAGACCCCTGACAGAAGGAGCTACTGTAGGGGTTTCTGCATCTGTCCTCGCCTCTGGCACCCCTCAAAACCCAATTCACTGCTCAATCTCCCCTCCAAAACTAGTCAAATCCCGAGGCCCCAGCAGGAAAGGAGCAGGGGACAGTCACCAGGTTGGCACTTTTGCAGTCAAGGACGTGGACGGTGACCATTTCTTTGGGGCTCCGGGTGAGGATGTAGATGGCCTCCTTGAACAGGGCTACGTGGCTCCCATCGAAGGTCACAAAGCTTAGATCAGGGAAGATTGAGCATCGGCCTGGGGGGAGGGGCAGGGATGAGAAGATTAACAGATGTTTCTGGGGCCAAGGCCACCCAGGAACAAAGGGCAGGCAACTTGGCCTCTTCCTAGATGACTCAGAGGCCCCGAGGAGCTGGAGAGTCACTCAGATCAGGCATCACAGAGATTAGGTTGCAAAAGTAGGGGTTCTGCCTGGTCAGGGGTCACACTGAGACAAGAGGTCCCGTGGAGAATGCATCCAGGTCAGAGTTACCCTCAGGCCAAGGAACACACAGGTAAGGGGCCGAGGATCTGGTGGACGCCAGGACTCACAGGCACATTCCCACAGGGGGCAGCAGCGGTCCCCGCCCACCCTCACTGCGAGGCCCAGGACCCCACAGCGAGGGGGCGTGGCACCCTGGGGACAGTGCTGGGACTGGTTCACTCGGATCAGCTGGCCCTCCAGGCAGATGTGGCGGACGCAGTCCTGCTCAGCGATTGGCTGGGGCACAGGGTGGAGAGACAACGTGAGTGCCCAGCCTAGTGTGGCAGCCACTCACTACCCCCCACCCCAAGCCTAAGGGCATTAGACCCTTTCCAGTGTCACTTGTAGCAGAGCAGGGGACCCAGAGGTAAGACTACTAGGGAATGGTGTCCTCACCCTCCACCCGCCCAACATGCCCCTCAGGGGCCTGGGGATGGGCTGAGCATGAGATTGAGGGTCAGGGGACTGATGGCCAGGGATTTCTGCGTATCTGTCAAGCCCTTGTGGAGAGCTCCAGGTACACAGATATGCAGACATGCTAGCTCAGACTCAGAGAACCTGAGCATACCCACGCATGCGCGAGCGTGCCCACACGCACATGCACACACACAAGCTCTCTTTATCTCTTTCTTATAAATGCACATACACTGTGACACCATATAGCACACACACAAGAACACACACACAGATACATGACTGTTCACCCTGAGTCTCACAAATGTAAGCCATGCACACACAGTTCCACGTGTCTCTGTAGGCACGAACACACACACACCAGCACACCTGTGCTGTCACCCTGTGTCACACTAAGTCATCCAACCAGCCCTAGGGGAATGGTGAGACTCTGCTATGACATCAGGGGCCCAGAGAGAATTTCTCAGCCTCCAGAGCGTGGGGCAAGCGTGAGGGCGGTGACTGAACCCCCATCTTGCAGCCTGGCGGCTGGTGAAGGAGAAGCTGCTGCAGGCCGTGAGGAATGTGACGCCACGATGGTGTCCCAGCCAAGTGGCCCAGGAGAGAGGGGCATGGAGGGACCACACTGGGGTGGCCTGACAAGTCACTCACGACACAGGTGGCGGATGCGCTGTCCTCAGTGATGGTTGTCAAGGTCTCAGCCGAACTCGCTGCGATGCTCTGGGCTGGGGCTGAGTGCCCAGACTGCTTGGTGGTGGCCTCTGTCCCCAGCTCTGCTGGGAGCCGAGGTCCTGCCGAGGTTCCATGGGCCTCGGCCAGCTGAGGGAGCAGAACGAGTGAGCTCTCTCGGGAGGCGGTCCTGGCCGAGACGCGGCTCAGGGGAGAGGATGTGGGCACCAGTGGCACTGTGACGGCCCAGGGGCCATCAGCCTCTGGCGCCAAGGTAGCCAGAGTGTGGGCCACAGCTGGCGTGAGTTTGGTGGGCACCCCCTGCGCAGGGCCATGCATCCAGGGGGGCAGAGACTGTTGCTTGGACAGGATGGCCATCTCCTCTGTGGTGCTCTTTCCTGGGGCAGCAGATAGCGTGGAGGCTGCGCCCTCGGCCATGGCCACGACTCCAGAGGCTGGCAGTGTGGCACCCGGAAGCCAGCCTGGCGCCGTGCCTGCTGCCTGAGGGGCTGTGTGACTGGGTAGGCCTACCTGGGCCACGACAGCAGGGGTGAGAGGCGGTGCTGAGCTGAGGGTCTGAGTAGGTGGAGTTGTGGCCATAGTGGGAGATGTGGCCTGTTGCTGGAGTGGAAAGGTGACGACAGAGCCCTTGGACCCGGGCGTGGCCACTGGGGCAGACGTGCCCACCTTGGTCAAGGGCAGGCTGGTATCGAGAGGCAGGCCAGGGAGGAGCTGGGGTGGCCGAGTTGAGTCCACAGTCATGAAGCGTGTGACCCCCAGCCCGTGAGCAAGTGTGGACTGGCTGGCGGCAGCTGGGGTCCCCGGGGGCGGAGCTGGAGGCCTGGTGGCTATGGGGGTTTGCCAGGTAGGGTGCAGTGGGGCAGTGGGGACGGGCCTTGGAGGTGAGGGTGCTGGTATGCCCGCGGGCTGGCCGGGCCCAGGCTGCTTCTCTGTGGGGGGCACCATCTCCACTCTCTTGGTAGCCAGAGCACTGACGGGAACCTGCTCTGCTGTTGCTCTAGCCTCGGCTAGGGGGTCGCTGGGACTGGAAACGCTCTGGGCCGGGATGGGCTGGGGCATCCCGGTCCTGTTCATGACCTCTGTGATTGCAGGTGTCAGCAAAGCCTTGTGGGATCCCAAGGAAGTGGGAGGCCTGGAGGTCACTGCAGGGGAAGCCACAGGCCTGGAGGAAGAACTTGCAGGCAACTCCAGGCTTGGGAAGGGCTGGAGGGGGGTGGTCTTAATAGGCAAGGAGCCGGGGCCTGGGACTGTCACAGCTTTGGTCATGAGCGGGGAGCGAGGTGCAGGGGGTGACCGGGAGGAGACTGTGATGTTGGGGCTCCCTGCAAAGGTCACAGTCACCCTCGTCGTCTTCCCAGCACCTGACCCCATGCTAGGTGTGGGCGTCGGCTGCGAGAGGGAGAGGGATGAGGATTCTGGGGTAAGGGGAGTGGCCAGGTGGCTGGCAGTCACTTCCATGCTGGCTGGGGCCTCTGTGGGGCGGGCAGGGAGGTTAGATGTAGTGGTCCCCGACGGTGGCTGCAGAGTGGCCGGGGGGGGGCCTGGAGTCAGCACTGGCCCCTCGGTAGCTGCCGTGGGTGGGTTCAGGGCTGTGGTGAGTGGGGCAGCTGGAGTGTGCGTTGGCTTGTGGGAGGGGGCCCCAGGAGCTTCCTGTGGAAACTGCAGCTCCTTATCACTGAGAGTGGGCAGCTCTTGACTGGGAGGCAGGGTCTCGTTGCCGAGAGACTCTGTGGGGACCGAAACCACGGGCTCCACACCTGGGGCAGAGAGAGAAGAAGCTCAGACGATGGGGTGCCTGCTGCCTGCCCCAAGGGGGTCTTCCCTGGGCAGGGCTGCGAGGTAGGGCTCCTGAGCAAGCAGGTGAGCATAGGGGAAGGCAGCTTCCAACGGCCAGTCAGGCTGCCTGACCAACGCAGGGGCCTCTGTCGTGTGGTATTGGATGAGTCCACAGGTCTGGACTCCGCCCCATACCTCAAAGCCTGAGCTCGGAGCCAACGGACCTCAGGTCTACCTTTGCCTATACTGCGTTCCTACCGCCTGACCCCAAGCCAGTCCCCTCCCCACTCTGGGCCTCAGTTTTTTTCTCTGTTTAATGGGAAGAATGGACTGGATGAGGTCCCTGCCTGCTCTAAAGGTCTCTTCCAGAGGCCCCTATGCTGACCCTGCTTCTCCAGGGACCTGGGGACTCTGGGCATGATGGGTCAAAGGAGACGCTGGAGATTGAGAGGAAATCTGAGGGAAGGATGAGAAACCTAGGCCACTCACAGTCCTCCAGGTAGACACATCTCTGTGTGACTTCATCCAGGACCTTGGGAGTGGGGCATGCAGGCACACAGCCTTCCACCCTGAGGACAGAGCAGGGAGCCAGTTAGTAGTCTGAAATATGGGGGGGGATCCTCTCTTTCACCTGGAGTGAGCACAGCTTCATCCCTCCTTATGACACATGTCACATGAACCCCCAGAGACGCTGTGTACAGAAGCACATATACCCAAACATGCATGTTGCACGCTTCTGCACACTCGTACTCCTCAGACCAAGAGAGAAACATGAACACAGTCTGGTTATGCACACACTGTGCACACACTCACACATGCTCCCATGTGTCTGCATTTAGGCACATTGTCACACCTGCAAGACTCGAAAGCATTCACACAGATACACCTACATCCACACAGACTATCAAAACACCAGGGCATGCACCTTCGTGCACACACAGCTGCACCAACACCCAGACGCGTGCAGCTCACACACACACGCCCACATGCACAGCTGCGCGCAGCCCACGGACACTGGTGGACCCGCCCAAGTACACACAGGGCCCAGCTGTAGGCACATCACACGCAAATCAGGACTCACACACGCCCGTGTAAGTCAGCTCCACTCTGGTCCACACCTACCCACACACACCCACAAAACATGCAATCACGAGTACATGGGAGCACACACACACCCCAGGACGTGCTCATGCCTCTGGCCACAGACTACACACCCATTGAGACAGGTGTGTGCTCAATACACTGAGGTACACAGCTTGACTCCATGCCCCCTCACCTTGGCACGTCCCGGCAGCTAGTTGCCCGCGGGTCCCGGCAGGTTCGGAAGCAGGGGCCTGCACAAGCATCGTAGTGCCACTCACAGAGGGGGTAGGCAGCCCCTGAGGGCTGGGCATCTGGAAAGGTGACCCGCCCCAGAGCCCCGAGACTGAGCGCGACTGGGTACCAGCTCAGGGTCAGGTGACAGAACACAGAGGTAATCCTAGCTCAGCTCATCCCCACCCTGCTCCACGGAACAGACAATTGGACACATGCAGGAAAAGCAAAGAAAAATAAAATAAAATATAAAATGAAAGCCAACCTAAGGGGAAACTATTCCTGGGAGCTGGGGTCAGTGCCTGGGGGATCCTTGGGATGGGACTGTGGGAACTTGGAGTAGGGGCTAAGAACCCCAGGGCGGGGGGCTACAGAGCAGGCAGGTGCAGTTGGGCTTTGAGGGTTGGCCAAAGAGGAGGTTGGGACCCCTGATCTCCTCCATAAGGTTGCCCTGTCACCCTGCTCCCCTGGGACCTTGATGGCCAGCCTTGCCCGGCACCCTTGGTGACTAAGAATGATAGTAACAACAACAAAAACAACAGCCAACTCTTAAACAGCACCAAACACGACATTCAACATCTCATAAGTATTTCCTCATTTATGCTCACAATAATCCTATGATGTAACACTATCATTATCCTCATTTTATGGATAAGGAAACTGAGGCACAGAAGATGCTGGGAAAATTAAACTCTCCCAGGAGAGATTTCCTCAAAAAAAGGTCCTGTGGCCAGTGCCTTGACAGATGAGGAATCCTCAGAGAAAGCAGGCAATGGGGGACGTGGAGGCAGACAAGACCCCAGACCATCTTAGCACATGTGACCAGTCTCTGAAACCATGGCCTGAGCAGGGAGATGTGGGTGGGCTCTGCAACAGGCCAGAGGGAGCAGCCCCACCTGGCAGCCCCTTCCTGACTCTATCCCCACACTGCTGACGATTGTGAAGAAACCTGCTTTTCTAGGATCCTTGAGACCAGAACTGAGAACTTACATTTGGGGAGCACCTATGAGGAACCAGGCCCAGAGCGAAGCCCGTGAGATGTCATCAATCCTCACAACAATCTTATGAGGCAAATAGCCCCACCGTACGGAGGTGGATGGTGGGGAGCTCTCCTCCAAGTGCCAAGGACTAGGGTCAGGATTTGAACCCAAGGCTGTCTGGCTTCAAAGTCTGGCTTCATTCTACTCTGCCTCAGGGTCTTCCAGAAAGGGACACAAGTCCTGCCATTACAGCCAGTGATGAATCTGTCCTGGGCGGGGCTCTTTGGTGGACTCTCTAGATGACCATGGAATGGAAGAATGAGCTGGCCCAGGCCTGGCTTGGGGGGAGGTGATAAGTGAAGGGGCTGGTTGGAGATACATTTGTGCACATATGTAAATGGACCCACTCATGCAGCACAAGGCGCCCTCACAGGCACAAACATACATGTGTCCTTGCAGGACAGAGGCCTGCCTGGAGTGGTAGAGAAATTGTGATCTCTTCCCCCAGGGTAGAAGCAGAGAACAAGCACTTGGGGGCAGACCCACCTGGCAGGGGGATGGCAGAGCCCTGGATCCCACTGGCCTTAGCTGGAAAGGGTATGGAGCTGCCCCATCACTGCCCAGGGTCCTGGGCCTCCCATGCGGGACAGAGGGAGACTGCTGGCTCCTCAGCCTGGTGCCCAGGGGGCGATCTTTGAGCTCACAGGGCAGGCATGTGTCCCCATCAGCAAGAAACCTGAGCCAGTGGGCTCTGCAAGCTGCAGTCAGGAGCACTTCTTACCTCACGTCCACAAAGGCTGCCCTATTTTTAGACCATGTAATTGGCCTGTGGGTGTAGGCAGGACCCAGGAAGCTGGCTGGGCCCCGAGCCCCACGGCCCACAGCTCCCTAGGCCGCCAGCACGGAGGTCGGGCCCCCTCCCATCTTAGGGGCGGCACCAAAGTGTGGCCTCCCCGTGTCGGGACAGTGGGAATTCTGCCTCTTGAGGGCAGCTGGGAGGGTGGGAGAGGGCAGGAAGGGCGGTTTGAGGAGGGGCTGAGGGTGACGGCAGGGTGGACACCTACCCAGAAGGCGGAAGAACGTGCCCCGGCGGAACACCTCCGTGTGCTCGTACAGCTGCAGGCCCAGCGTGGGGCCCGACACGTAAAGGAAGGAGCCAGGCTCTGCCAGCGACTCCAGGGCCACGAGGTCTGCCTGCCCTGTCCCCCGGTGCAGTAAGAAGGAGGCATGGTGGTGGAAGGCAACGCTGCCCTGCCACTTGGCCAGCTCCAGAGACCCATTGGCTGTGACATGGAGGAAGAAGTTGGGTCTGTCCGCTGCCTCCAGGGACACCACATCCGGGTCTGTAAAGAGCCAGGTGGGTGAGGTGAGCGCAGAGAGGGGTCCAGATGAGGGGCAGAGCCTGGAACGCGTCTGCTCTCAGTGACTCAGGGCAGCCACCCGCCCTGTGGATTAGCTGGGCCCTGCTCCCCCACGCCTGCCCACTTACTTCTGCCTGCTGGCGCCCCTCTGCACACACCACCTCTCCCCGAGGGAAGTGGAAGCTTAGAGAAGCTGTCAGCTGCCAAACCTCAGGACGTGTCTTCCTCCCACCTTCCTTCCCTCCTCCCTCTTTCCGTCCTTTCTCTCCTTTCTCCTTCACTCCCTCCCCCCCTCCCTCTCGCCCTCCCTCCCTCCTTTCCTCCCCCTGTAAACCTCTGGGGGACCCTCTGTGTGCCAGGAGGAATTCTCCATGCTAGGGACACAACAGTGAACAGACTGACAGAAACGGCCGCCCCGGAGGAGTCCCGTCCTATTGGACACACTGGACAGGCTAGGGGGTTGCTGATTTGACAGGTTTCAGTGACCCCAGCTTGGTCCTGCTCCACACAGAATCCCAGAGGCTCAGAGCTGGCAGACTGAGGGGATGTGGAGTCCAACCCACAGAAAACAGTGACCCCAAGAGGAGAAGGGGCTTGCCCTGAGCCCCACAACTGGTGTCTGCTCTCCTTTCTCCTGTGTCCACAAAGGCCCAGTTCTAGAAAGTGGGGCTTGTTGCTGGGTGGATAGCCCCCAAATCCACACAAGCAGGTGTCCAGGAGTCCCGGCCCGCCACAGCTGGCTGTATTGTGGGCAAGTGGCTTAACGTGCCCGGGCTGTTGTGAGGAGCAAACAATATGGCGCAGGTGAAAGGCCTAGCATGGGGCTTGATGTGTCTTCCCTCCCCGTCCATGTGGCCCTGTCACACCTCCCTGAGCAGCTGTGAGGAGACAGGAGGCGACTGGAGGAAGGATTCATTATTGACGGTAATAACAATAAGTGTTGTTTATCAAGGACTTACTATGTGCCAGACATGATACTAAGTAAGCCCTCTACCTGCTGGGTTATTAAATTCCAAGAGAGCCCCAGGAGGTGGCAAATTCATTCATTCAGCAGCTCATGTTTTCTGAGGGCCCATCATGTGCCAGGCACTGTGGTAGGCACAACAGGAAACCAACGACCAAAATCCCTGCCCTGATGAAACTCACATTCGACTGGGAGGAGGATAAACATCATAAACAAGTACAATCTATAATAGGTTAGTGGGGGATGATCTTGTTGTTCCCATTTTACAGATGAGGGAAGTGAGGCCCAGAGTCACACTGATGGTGGAAGAGGCAGACAGGATTAGGAGACCAGGTAGGCTAAGGCCAGAGCCCAGGAGCTTAACCTCCACACAGTCTGCCCCAGGGATGGGACCCAGGAGCAGGCACCATCATACCATGCTCATATCATGTCTAACTCCTGGATGGGACTGTGGACTTCCAGTGGACAGGGATGTGTCTCTTCCATCCCTAATGCCCTGGTACCCAGCTCTGTGCCTGGCCTGGGAATAGGGCTCAATGAAAGGCAGGGAAGGAGGGATGAGGCGGTGGGGAGAGGTCCTCATAACTAGGTAAACTGCAGACCCTGAGAATCTGAGAACTGAATTTCTGAGATTGGGATGAACCCTCTGAGAAGTCTCTTGGGTCCCGGTTCCAGCTAATGCTGGGATGGGCCGCATCCCTGTGGTTAGGGAGACACTGACTAGATGGGGCCAGCAGGATGCGGGGGTAGAAATGCTGATCACAGCGGTCACGCATACTGGGACACACACAAATGGCCACAGGAAAGACTTCCCAGCACTGGTTGAACTGAGGCCTTGGCTGGCCCAGGGCCCCCAAAAAATACCATCCAGGGGCCCTCTGTGCCGGGCAAGGTTCCTGCCACCCCTTCAGCACTGCTGAACTCTGAACAGAGGACAGTGCCCACTAAAGCAAAGCCAGTCAGATCAGCGGACTGAGTCCCAGGGGGCTGTGGCTGGTTCCAGGCGTGTCCTAGAATTCAGGATCATAACCTGAGCCGGTCAAGAGCCTGCTCCTCCATTCGCAGAAGCAAGCCCCCCAGGAGTCAGTACATCAGCCAGCTCCCCTCTGGCCCTTCAAGTCTATCCAGTCTCAAAAACGGAGGGGAAGGGAGGGGAGGAGGCAGAAGAGAAGAAGGAGAAGCAGGAAGAGATGGAAGAGGGTGGAGGGGAGGGAGAGAAGAGGAGGGGGAGGAGGAGAGGGGAAAGAGGACTGGGGGCAGGAAGGAGGGGAGGGAGAGGAAGGAGTGGTTGTTGCCACCAGGCTTGACCGGAACACAGCAATGGTATAAAGCTACAAAGGTACATCTGGACCTTGGCCTCCCTGCTTCTTCCAGGGAGAAAATGGAAGGTGTCTGTTTGAAGAGACTAACAGGCTGACCCAGAGGCCTGTCTCAGCTGGCAGAGGGGCACCTGTTGGAGCCCCACATTTCTCCAGCAACTGCAGATTGCTTAGGGCCTCAGCATCCTCCCTCCACCAAGGGCTGCAGTGGGGCTGGAGGCAGACCTTACCATGAGCCTTGGCCTTGTACAGTGCAGCCGTCAGCAGGAAGTTCACAATGTCCCCTGGAGCCACGTCCCCCGCGCTCATGAGGACCGTGGCACCGCCCGCCGCCTTGCTGGCCACCAGGGCATTGCCAGTGGCCAAGCTGGCCAGTTGGTAGGGACCCTTACCTAGTGCTGGAGAGAAGGGGCCCAGGTGGGAGGCCTGCCCCCCTGGGCCTTGGCCCACCTCCCATCCTGCCAGAGGTGGGGAAAAGAGAGGGTGCGAGAGAGCTACTCTCGGTCGCTTCCCTCACCCCGGGCCCCAGGGAACTTGATTCCACAAGAAGGAAGGGGCATGAATTCCAGGGGGTCAGTCCCTGATGGGAAGTGACCCTCTGCACAGCGCCTGAACAATTTCACAGGAAACCTGGGAACAGGGCCACCCACGGGAGACCTCTGCCCCACCCCGACCCCTGCAGATGTCTCTCCGTGGGCCTGTCCCACAGCCACTGCTCTATTCAGGGTCGCCTCTGGGACTCAACATCAGACCTGGTCTCTACCCACCCAACACCTGAGGAACGAAGCCTGGCAAGTCTCAGGCTCAACATCAGTGTTTACCTGCTTATCTCAAATGTGTCATTTTTGTGGCTCTTGGGTTCCTACCGTTGTTGGTATAGGTTGGAGAGGGCCATGGGTTTCCTAGACAATTGCCTTAAAACCAACCTCCCTGCCTCTGGTGTGCCCCCCAGCCTCCAGTGCTTCCTCCCCACGGGTGCTTGGGTCACCTTTCTAGCCACACTCCCTGCTGGGACTCATCAATGGCTCCCCATTGCCCTCAGGATGGAATCCAAAAGCCCAGCTTGAATTCAGGGACCCTTCCCACTCCAAACCCCACGTACCTCCCCACACCCTTGCCCTGCCACACTGAACTTCTCTAGCACCTCCTTGAAAGAGCCGTGCTGTGCTCTACCTCATGCCTCTCCTCATGCTGTCCACCCACTCAGAGTAGTCCTCCATGTTTTGTGCCTGGCAAACGCCTACTCAACCTTTGGGGCCCAGCTCAAATGTCACCTCCTTGGCGAAGCTCTCCCTGCACCCTCTCCCGCCACACACAAACGTCATTCCTCCTCCTCAGTGCTCCACCAGCCCTTGGAGCACGGCAGGCCCTGATCACAGCTCTTAGGATGAGGACCTTGATGGTGGATCCACGTCCGTCTCCTGGGCCAGATGGGAAACAGGCAGCGCTATGCTAGTAAATGCGTAACAATAAATTCTCAAACAAACAAAACCCCACTTTGTAGTGGTTGCTGATTTCCACCGTGTGAATACTCACGGCAGTGGTCAGTTTCAAGCTACCGACTGAATGTGGAGTTAGGAACACACCGCAGCTTTAGGGGGCCAGTGTGAGCGGGATCCAGCACACCACCACCGGGACAGGCCTCTTTGACCATTGATTCCCCAGCACCCAGCAAAGGGCCTGGACCAGAGAAAATGTTGGTAGGAGAGCAGAGCAAGGAATGGATGGGTAGGTGGATGAGTAGGTGGAAGATGCTAGAAACAGCTTGTCCTTTGCCAGTTACTGCCACCCAAAATGCCACAGAAGGGAGAAAACTCTTCTCAGAGCTGTCTCGCTGAAATGTCTTGCCTGATGTCAGACAGACCTTGCCTGTCCCAGGGACTGCAATTCTGTTACAGATTCATTCCTATAAGGAAAGCTTCGTCATAGCCAGGAGGAAGCCCTTGGCCATCAGGAGTCCCTAGGGGCTAACATTTTGGAGGGTCTGTAGTCCCTGAATTATCATGCTTCACCCCGGTCCAGCTTTTATCTCTCAGACTCCCTAACTGGTATCCTGTCTCTAGTCTGTCCCCCTCGATTTCACCTGCTATCCTCTGCCAGTGGGACATATCGCAACCCAAAATCTGATAATGCTTGTAACTGAGGACAAAGCCTTGGGCCTAGATGCACATAGGCCTATTCCTGGCATGGTACCTGGAAGGGGATGACGCAGGGCTCCGAAGTCAAAGGTGAATGGTACCAAGGACCTGACGAGCATCTAACTCTGCCAAGATCTGACTTCCCACCCTATTGCCCATGACCCTGGTGATTAAACTGAATAATGAGCTCTAACGCTGGACATTAGCCTCCCTTGGGTCTTTAGTCGCGACCTGTGGTTTTACTCTAGCTAATGCAGAATTTGGAGCATATCCTGGTACCCTGTGACCTTGGCTAAATTTGAAGATGAATTGGACAGGCTGAGCCAAGCTGTAGGTTTTGCCCCAGTCATCCTCAGAAAGAGCAGTTTGCATTTGCCTTCACCACTCAAACCTTCAGGAGACCCAAGACAATATTCCGTGAGCCTGATGAGCGAGATTGCAGAGGACAGAAGGTGGCAGATTGGTGGGAATGGGGTTTTTACTTCCTGGTGAGGCTGCCCTGGGTGAGAACAACTCCCGGGAAGCTGGCCCGGCCTGGAGAGAGGGGACACAGGAGCTTCTAGAGACAGAATTCTGAGACACCCCTGGCCTCCGCACTATCTGGATTCTCTCTGCACAGTGCGGTCCCTCCTCGCACCATGTTACAGCTCTTCCAGGGCCAGCTGATGCTGTCATGGTAGCAGCGGGGCTGGCGGTACTCAGCCCCCCAGGCTCCACTTGGGGAGGATGGGCTTACCTTTATTAAAGAAGTCACAGTCATACGCTGCAAGAGAGAGAACAAGACTTCTTGAGAAGCCTGGGACAGGTGGGCAGAGCCACGGCCCCTAGCATCCCAGCTGTCCCAGATTTGGCCTGCCTCCCAAACTCCAAGATCTGCGCACGGTCATTGGACTCAGGTATCTTAAGGTGTAGGAAATACCACGGCTCCTGTCTGTGCCCCCGGCACAAAGCTCAAAGCCTGACCTAGAGTAGGGACTCAGCATGTAGCGAATGAATGAATGAGCGAATGGGTGAATGAGTGAATGAGTGTTGGACAGAATGGGGCATTTTCTGTGGCTCCAAAGGGCAAGGCTAGAATCAAGGAGTGGAAACTCCAGTCACAAATGTTATAGCAGTTCCTGGAGGAATGCAAGCACAAGACAGAAGTTGGTATTTCAAGAACCTTGGGTGGAAGGGAACCAGGGGCCACCAGGACCCAAGGCTTTTTTCAGGCCCCTCGGGGTGTAGTTTCCATCAGGTTTCACAAGCTCCTCCAAGTGTGTGCTCAGCGCACCCTCTAGTGGCTCTGCCCAGCACTGCAGCCTGTTGCCCAGGCGCCTCAGTCATGGATTCTGTAGTCCCCCGGGGGCCGGCTGGGGACCTTGCAGGGGCACCCAAAGCCAGAAGCAAGGCCATGAGGAGCCAGTTGGGTAGACCGTGGATGAAGGCTGAGGGGGATCCTCCCTCATTCGTAGGCATGGTCTAAAGAGAGCCACCTACTCCACCCCGATACCCCAAATGCCATGATCAACACTATCTCTTTGCATTTGGCACTGACCTCTAGAAAGAGCACTTGCAGTGAGACTGACCCACCATGTGTCTATGGAAAAGGACTCACTTTTCCTCATTTGCTGACTCAGAAGATTGAACTAGAAATGTAGATCTCGGAGTCTCTGGTTTCAAGTGGGTATCAAGTCAGTGGGAGGTAGCCCGGAAGAGTCAGACCTGAGTTCAAATTCCATCTCTCTCACTCTTCAGCTGTGCATACTGGGACAAGTTACTCAACCTCTCTGAAATTTAGTGCCCTGCTCTATAATATGGGACCACCAAGGGTACCTGCCCCACAGACTTGCGAGTCCTGGACTAGGGCAAGGCAAGTGCTTACGTTGTGTGCAAAAGGGAAGGGGGCGTCAAACACCTCAGTAATTAAGATGCATAATATTTTAATACACTGTTTTAAAATGTTTTAAATTAATGCAAAATGCAAAATGTCCGTGATGAACCAAATATCAAAAATTTAAAATAAGGACAGGATCGATGATAGCGCCTTGCCAAGCCACGTTGGATCCTGAGGCAGAAGGGAAAATCAGTACTATCGACCCTGTCATTACTTAAAACTTTGATATTTTGTTATCAAAGCCACAGATATTTTTGCATTAAGTTTGATTTTTAAAAAATATTACCTTCAAATGTGATTTATCTCCGTTACTGAGTTTTTTGTGCTTCCTTAAATCTTGTGTCCTAGGTGAGGAGTCCCTAGCCCTGAATATCAAGGAGCTAATGCACAGAAGGCACACGGCTGGGCACACAGCAGATCCTCGGTAAAACTGTGCTGCCTTCTCTTTCATGAAGGATTTTTATCTGAGAAAGAGAAGGGAGGGCCACAGAGCATGACCACAGAGCCTCTGTAGTAGAGGGCTCTCAGAGGAAACCGGGCAGAGAAAAGGGAGGCCAGAGGTAGGTTCTGCTCCATCTTCTTCCTAGGGTCCTCTTGCCTGGAGCTCTCAGGGCTCAGGACGGGCCAGCACCTGCGTCCCCGTAAGAAATGACAGCAACCTCAGCAATACCACAGAGCGCATGCCCAGTGCTTCACGTGGGCTAGCTCACTGAAATCTTGCAGCACCCTGCAAGGGAGGGACGGGTCTCTTAACCCATGTACGAGTCGGGGTGTGAAGAATGTGCCCCAGGTGACCCCGCTGGGTGGGGCTCTGGCCTCAGAGGCTGTGTGATAACCACTGCACCCCAAAGTGAGGCAGTGATGGGCCCAGAAAGATCATCGGTGTGCAGGAACAAATAATAAATAATAAGTGAATGACTAATGGAACTTTCTATATATTTTATTTCATTTTTAAAATATTTACTCTTGTATCTGTTTTATGATATACATTTATACTACTAATAGTATATATGTACCCACATACATGTATCTATGTATGTGTATGAATGCACGCTTGAAACATTTTTTACTAGATGGAGCGTGCAACCCAAAGCATTTACAGACCACCATTGCTCTAAATAAACTGATGTCTTGTGCTGCCTTTGTATGTCTTAGCTGACAAAGGGCTTTTAATTCATTATCCCATTTGACCCTCACAATAAACCTGGTGGGGCAGGTCTATTCCTACTTTTCAGATGAGAAAATTGAGCCCCAGAGAGGTTGGGTGACTTGTTTGTGGCCACACAGCTCGCATATGGCAGCTGTGGGTCTGAAACCTGGGGCTCCTGACTCCCCTGGGAACGTGGTTAAGAGCACAGATTTGCAGCCAGACCATCTGAAGATGAGCCCTGGCTCCTCCACTAAGCTGTGGGACCTTGAGCACGTTACTCCATCTCTCCCTCTGTCTAACCTGCTCCCCAGCTGTGAACCAGGAATGAATTCCTACTTGATAGGGTATTTTACGAGTTCAGTGAAAGATACGGGCAAGCCAGTTGGTGCGTGGCACGTACCGAGTACTGAGTAATGCCAGGCAGGGTGATGGCAGCCCACAGGCCTGCCCGCGGAGGGGCCCCCGCTCCCCACGCTGGGTGCCCGGTCTGCATACTCACGGCAGAGGCGCGGGGTCCGCCAGCCCACAGCCACCCCGTGCTGGCAGCACTGGTGGGCATAGGCGGACACACTGGCACAGAAGCACTCACAGTCCCCGCCCCGGCTGCACCCACAGGTGTCCGTCAGGCAGTTTGAGTAAAACCAAGTGACATCGACCTGGGGGAGGTCAGAAGTCAGAGGTCAGCGGACAGCTCCCGAGGGTTAGCCCCTCAGCTTCCCGGCCGATGCCTCCTAGTGGCAGGGAGCAGCATCAACGCGAAGGGACACCAGGCTGGGGTGAGCTGCCCTGGTGGGGTGAGGGCAGACAGGCGGCCAGCTCAGAGCAAGACAGCTCCATGGCCCAGGCAGACCCCACTTTTGAGAACTAAGCTCTCGCCTTCCCTAGGCCTACACTATTGGATCCAGAGGTTAAGGGTGTGGCTGAGAGACAGACATGGGGTATGAACTCCCAGCCAGGGCCAGAGACAGCCAGGGCCAGGCCAACGGCAGCCTTCGAGGCCCTGGGGGGTGCCATGCAGAGCTAAGCGCCAGCTCCCCTCCGTCTCCACACAGGCCGATGCCAGGGCATGAGGGGTTTGTGTCCACTGTGCAGAATAACTTCCTCACCGGGAGGAAGAGCCAGATTGAGATAGGTTTGAAAAAGGCATGGAAGCGGTTTGTTTGGCTGTCTGTCCTGGGTCATCTGGGGAAACAGAACAGGTTCATCGGAGCAGGCTGGAGGCAGGGGATTGGCAGAGGTAGGTCTCCTTTCTAGACCTGAGGTGCCTCTCCCCAGGCATTGGGTGGGGGGGCGGTCTGCGAGGAGAAGGGATTGAGGGAAGGTAGGGAGGGGCTCAGGAGGACTGAGGCTGGGGTCCACTCACCACAGGGTGGCAGGTCTCAAACACCTCACTGAGCAGGATGCTGCACTCCTTTCTGGCAAATGGTTCTCGGAGAGGATTCAGGACACACGTGTCCCAGGGGTCAAGGGTGTCTGGGCACTGAGAGGCAAAGGCAGGGCTGTTGATCTCCCTATCCCCACAATGCCTGTTGCCTGGTGTGGTGGACAGACTCTTAGAGTGGCCCCCTTGATCCCCCAACTCTTGAGGTTCAAGTCCTTGTATAATTCCCTCCCCTTGAGTATGGGAAGGACCTATGACTTGCTTCAAACTGACAAAAGAAGGCAAAGGTGACGGGATGGACATGGTTATGAGTCTGCGACTGCATTTTTATGTTACATATTTTATGTTTTATAAGATGGTAGAGTCCATCTTGCTGAGTTTCTCCCTTGCTGGCTGTGAGGAAGCAAGCAGCCATGTGGGGGAGTCTCACATGGTAGAAACGGTGAGTGCTCTCTAGGAGCCGGGGGTCTTCTCTGGCCAACAGCTAGCAAAAACACTGAAGCTCTCAGTTCTATGGTTGCAAGGAACCGAATGCTGCTGACAACCACCCCAGCAGGTGGGGAAGGACATACCTCCCTAGTCGAACGTCCAGATAAGAGCCCAGCCCTGGCTGACACCTTGGTTGAGCCTGTGATACCCCAAGCAGAGAACCAGTCAAGCCCCACCCTGACTCCTGACCAACAGACACCACATGTGTGTGGTCAAATGTTTCCAAGTCTGTAGTAGTGTTGTTACATAGCTACAGATAACTAATAACTAATACAGACTGCCCCAATGTCTGCCGAACCTCCTCCATCAGTGCTACATTCTCATAAGAACCCCCCAGGATATGCCCAAGGGGGTTATCAAGAGAGGAACAGCAGTAGGGGATCGGAGGAGGGGAGCAATAAAGGTTAGTCATCCTCTCTGCTTCTCTAAAATGGGGGTGGGCTAGAGCACTCTTCTGAGGCTGCAAGAACAGCCTTGTCCCACCTCAGGATTACACTGGGCTCCAAGCCATGACTGTCCCTGGACCCCAGTCTACATAAGCTCATCTTCATCTACTCCCCAACTGAGAATTAGGGACATAAGATGACTCAGTCCAGGAAATGCGAATATGTAACGCCCATATCACCACTCTCTGCTGCTGCATCCATAGACATAACTAATCAATCACAGTTCTCCTAGCTGAGCCTGACACAAGTCTTAGGTATTTCTCAGCACGGCTTCACAGACTACCTCTTTTGGCTGATAAGAGTTGTCACAAGAGCTTAAATCCAGTCTACATCCCTCTCCTGGCACAGCTCCTTCAGAGGACCACGGAGAAGATGGAACTTACTCAAGCTCACCCAGCAGCTCACTGGATGACCCAAGACAAGAACCTAGGTCTCTTGCTCTCAGTTCAGTGCTGTTTTCCCCCATAGCTCACAACTTGGGGGCCTCAGCCATTTCCCAAACCCCAGGGACATCCTCCTCATTTCTGCCTCTGCTAAAGTTGTCTCCCTCTCAGAGGCCTTCTCTCTGATACATTCATCTTTCCAAATATGGCCTTTAAGTACCAGTCTACTCGCACCTCCTTCAGGAAGCCTGCTCTGATTGCCTCAGGCCACATGGGTCTCTCTTGGACTCTCCTCTGGACCAGACCTAGTGCCAGGCACTGGGGGCACAGAGATGGTTAAGATGGTCATGTTTCAACAAGCCTCATCTTCCCTAGTACGTAGGTGGTCATCTCTCCTCAGACAAAGACTTCATCTCCTTCTCAGCCCCCACCCTCCCATCAGGGCTTGATCCAGGGCACAGGTGCAGCCTGATTTGTGAGATGGGGGGTGGATGCCCTCTGGCCACAGGGCAGAGCCGAAGGCTGGGGATGCTGGGTCAGAGGCCAAGAGAGCGTTTGCATGAGCAGTCTCACACCAGTGTCCCTGACCTGGGGCCAGGGCCCCTCAGTGCCAGCCAGGGCCCATCTGAGCGAGGGAGGGAGGCAGCCTAGGGAGCCTTTACCTCGACGGCAGCCCAACTGCTGCCAAACTCCTGGGGGTTAGTTAACTCTAAATTCTCCGGAGTCCTCATCTCATTGATGGTTTTTAAGTCAAAGTTCCCACAGAGTCCCGCCAGCTGGCCCTGAAAGAAGAGAGGACACTGCGGTCACCTGCAGGAACACCAGGGACGAACCACTGGCAGCGCAGTTGCCATGAGCCCAGGAGTCTGTCATGGACCTGAAGCAACTTCTGAGGTCATGATGTAAAGAGGGGTAGGAGAAGAGTCAGAGGAGAAGGGCACGGAGTGAGGTGGGGGCAGACAGGACAGGAGGCATGATACTCCAGGCTCCTTGGTGAGGGTCCAGCTCATGCAAGGATGCCCAGTGGCCTGGGTCAGCCCCAGGAAGGAGCAGAGGGCCCTGTGAGGGTCACTGCTCATGCAAGTACCTGCCACTGTGGCCCAGCCTGGATGTGCACTGTGGTTCTCTGGTCCCATAAGAGGGTGATGTGCTCCCTTGGGAAATGCACCAGCGTGAAAAACCCTGCTTGCCACGTGTGGACCTCCTGCTTCTCATCCAGGAAGCTCTCAGGACTCTAGAGCGACAGGGATGGTCATTCCTGAGGCCCGGGTGTCCCCCAACACCTGGGTCAGCTGCCCAGCCCCAGGAACTCACGCCTCCCTCACACCCTGACATTGACCTCTGTGTTCCTGACTTTGACCAAGGAGTTCAATCGGGGCTGCTGACTCAACAGCTCCAAGGAACTGGGTCCCCAGCCCTCTTCTGCCCCAGCCCCTGTTAACAAACGACTGTCTATACAACCTGAACCTGCACCAGGCCTTACAGGACTTCCCGAGTCGTCATCAAAGATGAGGAGTGAGTTCCCAACGTTGATGGAAATAAACTTCCTACAGATGATACCAGAGCTGTAACAGTCTACATTCTCTACAATCACAGAGAAACTGAGGTCCGCTGTGCTCTGGGGAGAAAATAAATTAGTTCAGTAAAACCAGGGAGAGAAAAGGGCCTGAGGACAGGCACAGAGGTAGTGGGACATGGACTCTGAGGTGGTTTTCAATCCACTTATACTTCTTATTAGCTGTGTGACTTTGGGCAACTTACTTCAGTTCTCTGAAGCTCAATTTCACTGTTGTGCCTAGGGCAGTGTTTAGCATGTAGTCACTCTCCAAAAAGTATTGGACGGACGGACGGACGGACGGATGGATGGCTATATAATAGGGTTGACTGGTGCTGACAAGGGTATAGGGTGGGGGTACTGTCTTATATACCTGATGACAGTAGTGTAAGCCTTCTTGGAGGGCAAATTGCAAGCACTGAATAACATCTTATGTGTATACAACTTTTCATGGCAATTCCACGTCTAACACTCTATGAGATACATCCACAAAAGTATTCATTGAGCATTTAAATATCAGCAACAATCTAAATGTCTGTCAATGGGGAGATAATAAAACAAACGAGAGCATGTCCTCTCTGTAGAATTTTACACAAAGAAGAAAGAGGTATGTACCAATTCTATAATGACTAAGGTATATGGTATTAAGTGAATAGAGCAAATTGCAGAATCCTATCCATAAAAACAAAGCACCGTGTGTGTGTGTGTGTGTGTGTGTGTGTGTATCTGTCTGTCTCATGGAAGACGATCTTGCAGGATTCACACCTAACTGTTACGAGCAGGGAATGGGAACAGAAGAGCTGTAAAGGGAAATATTTATTTTTAATATATGCTTCTAAATTGTTTTAAATGTCAGTGAAGAGCATGCATTGCCTTTGAAATTTAAAAATTAAAATAAGGTCAATTATCTGTCTCTTGAGGTTACAGAAATTACATGAAAAACCCCCACACAATGCCTTCCCCATAGCTAGGACTCATTCCATAAAAGGTTTGTCATTATTATTACTCTCACTATTATATAATGGGACAGGTCCTTAGCAAAATCAAAGTCCCTTGGGTGTGTCTCTGGCACTCTCCCACCTGCCCTCTTGGTACCCCTTTTCTCTTTCTGGAGAGGATCCTGCCTCTACTGTGCCCCCCACCCCACATCACCATCCTTTTTCCTTCGCAGGAGCTGACAGCTTTCACATATTAAATCTCCTGTCAGATTTCTTGGTTCAAACTTGACACCAGCTCTGCCACTGGCCAATGGTGTGACCTCAGCCAAGACACCTAACTCCCCTAAGCCTAAGTTGCTGCATCTATAACATGGGGTCAGTAAACTCTACTTCATAATGTTGCTGTGAGAATTAGGCAAAGTAATCCATGAAATTGGCTCAGCAGACCACCAGGCATACAATAAAAGCTCAAAAACCATGAGTTCTTATTACAGACAAGAAGACCCTTGGGACCCAACAGGGCAAGGCTATAATGGTGAGTGGCCAAGCAGTGGGGTATTATATGACTGGTGAGCTCTGTCTAGCCCTGAGCCTGCTCCACAGCACTTCTTTCAGTCTCCAGATAGCCCTGCCCCACCCCCAGGCTTAGATCCCTCCACCCACCCAATTCTGCATCAGACTGGAGTCTAGAACATCACCGTGCCAGACAGGTCCTCAGCTTCAGCTGCCCCGAGTCCCCATACAGCCAGCTGGGCAGACGCATCCAGGAGCTCACCTTGACCAGGTGCACTTTGCACGCCCCCACGAAGTCGAACGGGAGCCCATCGAACGTGCGGTAGTGCCGGTCACCATAGGCCGTGCAGGTGGAAGCGCAGGGATGGAGCGTGCACTGGAACGAGCCCCACTGGCACACACTGAAACACATGGGCCCAGAGCAGCTCACAGGGCCCACGCCACACACACTCGGAATACCCACACCAGAGCCACTGCCTACACAGTGCCCACTATGTGCCCCTGGGCTAGGGGTCACAAACACCATTGACCTCCAATGGAAGCCTGGAGGTCACAAAATCACATTCGTGTAAATGTTTACAAAAACATCCCCCAGATTTCTATCTTTGCATACTCTTATATATATACACACATCCCTATATGGCACACAAACACACAACATGGATGTGAACATGGTGGAAGGGGGAATGCTAAACGGCGCTCACCACCATGCTTTCCGCATCCATCCTCATCCCCGGCAAAAAGCAGAGCCTGAATGGTACCCTCACTTACCAGGTGTGGCAGGGAGACATGACCTGGTCCCCAGGGAAATACTCCTTCCCCTTCCAAGTGCACGGGCAATCCTCTGGCAGGAAACATGCGTCCCCATGTCTGAGTAAGCTGTAGGGACACAGCAAGCAGGTGGTCAAGCCAGCACGCTTCCCTTATCTGCCGTCTATAGAGAACCCTGCATCCAATGGATACCGTAGGGTGGCTCTCAGCATTTCCTCCAGAAGTAACTGACAATGTACGCACCTACCATCCTGTTGCTGCCCAGTGGGGCTCAGAGGTACCTTGGTAATTGGAAAAACCAAAGACTTGGCCCACCTCAGAAGCCTCTGCCATCCATCAGGAAGTAAGGCTCAGCTCTACCAGCCACACCCCCCTCAGCCGGCCAGGATGCCAGTTGCCGTTTGGGCACTAGCTGTGTATTAATAAACAGATAATGAACATGGGCATTGGCCCTCCAAGAGCAACCAATAGACCTGCATTAAAAAGAAATGTTAGGGATGCCTAGGTGACTCAGTTGGTTAGGGGTCTGACTCTTGATTTCGGCTCCGGTCATGATCTCAGGGTCCTGAGATCGAACCCCTCATTGGGCTCTGCACTGGACATGGAACCTGCTTAAGATTCTCTCTCTCCCTCTGCCCTTCCCCCCACCCTGCTCATATGCGCGCCCTCTCTCTCTCTCAAAAAAAGAAAGAGATGTTCAAGTAAGTTTTTCAGGAAGATGGAAACTCAGATTCACATGAAGGAATAAAGAGTTCTAAAAATGGAAAATATGTTGATAAATAATTCTAGAAATTGCTTCTTAATTTCTCTAAAAGATAACTGGGCATTTAGAGCAAGGTTAATGTCAATGAATTGTGAGTTTTATAAAATACGTAGAAGTAAAATGTATGAGAATAATGGCGCAAAGGACAAGAAGTAAGTAAATGAAAGATACTGGTACAAGTGTTCTACAGAAAGTGGTAAAATATTAATTCTTGGTAGACTGATAAATGAAAGATACAGATTGTAATCTCTAGAAAAACCACAAAATGCCACGATATACAGTCAAAATGAAATAAAGGAAATAAAATAGAATATTAAAAAATAACCCCCCAAAAGGCAGAAAAGACCCCCCCCCAAAAAAAAACCTCAGAAAACCCAAAAGGACAAACAGATAACAAATAACAAGATGGTAGCAGTAAATCCAATCCAATTACATTAAATCCAAATGTACAAGCTCTTCAATTAAAAAGGTAGAAACTGTAACATTGGCTAAAAAAGCAAGACCCAACTGCATTCTGTTTACAAAAGACACAATTGAAATATAAAGGCACAGATAAGTTAAAAGTAAAATTATAGGAAAAAATACCATGCAAACACCAGTTATAAGAAAGATGGAGTGGCTTTATTAACATCAAAGTAGACTTCAAGCCATTTAGCATTAGCAGAAATAGGAAGGATATTTCATGACAGCAAAAGAGCCCATTTATCAAGAGAACACAACAATCCTAAATGGACATGCACCAAGTAACAGAGCTTAAAAACAGAAGCAAAAACTCATAGAAACTAAAAGGAGAAAGAAACAAATCCACAATTATAGTTAGAGATCTCAACACTCCACTCCTGTTGGTTAAGCATCCAACTCTTGGTTTTGGTTCAGGTCATGATCTCAGGGTCGTGAGATCAAGCCCTGTGTTGGGCTCCATGCTCAGCAGAGTCTGCTTGAGATTCTCTCTCTCCCTCTCCCTCTGCCCCTCCTGCTCCTCTCTCTCTCTCTCAAATAAATAAATAAATCTAAAAAAAAAAGAAATCAGGAACAAACAAGTATAGGGAAAATCTCCAAATATTTCAAAATCTAGTAACATTTTTTTTAAAGATTTTATTTATTTATTTGACAGAGAAAAAGAGAGCACAAGTAGGAAGAGCAGCAGACAGAGGGAGAGGGAGAAGCAGGCTCCCTACTGAGCAGAGAGCCTGATGTGGAGCTCGATTCCAGGACCCAGGGATCATGACCTGAGCCAAAGGCAGACGCCTAACCAACTGAGCCACCCAGACGCCCCTCTAGTAACATTTCTAAATAACTCATGGGTCAAAGAAGAAATCACCAAGGAAATTAGAAAAGATTACAACAAAAATAATGAAAACACATGGTATCAAAATTTGTAGAGTGAGCTAAAGCAGAGCTTACAGAGAAATTTATAGCTTTAAATGCTTATATTAGAAATAACAAAGGATTACAATAAAAGATCTGAACCAGAAATATAAGAGCAAGTTAAAACCAAAGTAAGTAGTAAGAAGAAAATAATAAAGGTAAGAGCAGAAATCAGTGAAATAGAAAACAGAAACCCATAGAAAAAAAAAAAATCAATGGAACCAGAGTATGGTCTTTGAAAACATCAATAACATTGACAACCCCCTGCCTAGACTGGATAGTAAGAAAAAGAGAAAAGACTCAAAATATCAGGAGAAAAGAGAAAACATCATTGCAGACTCTACAGATATTAAAAGGAAAATAAATACTTTTATGATGTAAAGCCAATAAATTTGACAACTTGGATGGAATGCACAGCCAAGACATCAAATACCTATGAATAAATTCAATGACATATGTGCAAAACCTTTCCATGAAAAGTATGAAACACTGCTGAGAGAAATTAAAGAAGACCCAATAAGTGAAATAATGCCATATTTGTGCATTGGGGGAACACAGTAGTGTGAAGATGTCAGTTCTCACCAAACTGACTTCTAGATTCAACACAAAACCAATTAAAATCCCAAGGGTTTTTCTGTAGAAATTCCCTAAATTTACATGGACCTAGAAGTGTCCCAAAAATCCTGAAAAAGAACAAAGTTGGAGCACAATCACCTTCTGATTTCAAGACTTCTTATAAAGCTTCAGAAATCAAGACTGTGTGATACTGGTCTAAAGATAGACAAAGAGATTAATGGTACAGAATAGAGAGTCCTGAAATAGACCCACATTTATAAAGTCAATTGATTTTTTTAAACAAAGGGACCAGAGCAATTCAATAGGGAGAGAAAAGCCTATTATTAAAATTGGGCTAAAACCACAGGATATCCATCAGAAAAAAATAAAATGAAATTTGACTCCATTCTACAATATAGAATCATTTCAGATAGATTATAGACCCAATGTAAAAGCCAAAATTTTAAAGCTTCTAGAGGAAAACATCAGAGAATGTCTTTACAACCTTGGAGCTGCAACTACTGAGGACATGGAGAAAACTGATCATAAAGGGAAAAAAATGATAGATGCAATCAAAATTTAAAACTTATGCTCATCAGAAGTTCTTAGGCTTATTAAGATACATTAAGTAAATAAATAGGCGAACCACAGGCAGGGAGAAAACATTTGCAATGTATATATTTGATAAGGAAAAAACTATAATTCAATTTAAAGAAAATAGTCAACCAAATAAGATATGGGCAAAAGACTTGAATGGACACTCCACAAAGGAAGATATACAAATGGCCAAAAAACACATGAAAAAGTACTCATCATTAGGGAAAATTACCAGTTAAAATAATAATGAGATATGACAATGAGTACCTTTCATTGGTACCTATACATGAGCATTTAAATTTGTCAAAGCTTAGCGAACTGTATGCTTAGAATCTACACATTTTACTGTGGTTGTTTTTTTTTTTTTAAGATTTCATTTATTTGACAGAGAGAGAGATAGTGAGAGCAGGAACACAAGCAGGGGGAGAGGGAGAGGGAGAGGGAGAAGCAGGGTTCCCGCCGAGCAGGGAGCCTGATGCAGGACTCAATCCCAGGACCCTGGGGATCATGACCTGAGCCGAAGGCAGAGGCTTAACAACTGAGCCACCCAGGCATCCCCATTTAATGTTTATAAATTATGCCTCACTTTAAAAAAAAATTTAAAAGGGAAAAAAGCAGTGAGGAACCAAAAGTTGACTAGAAGCTGCATAATTAAGGGGAGACACCATTTTGTTGGGGGAACCCCTAAAATGTCACCTTCTGTAGATTTTTTTTTTTCTCTTGGCCCAGCCCATTTTCAAGAGAAGAATCCTCTTCATCTCCAGCCTGGGAGGCAGAAGCTTCAATGCCACTATTGTGGGAACCAAGCTGGGGAAGAGGGCTGGGGTCCCACTAAGCTTTCATTTACTCTCCCTGTCTTCACTCTGCATCTCATCCCTCCTGGTTCTCCTGAGATCAAAGTCTCTGACGTGGTTTCTGCAGAAACTTTAACCACCTTTCTCCTGCTGGATGGGGTTAGGGCAGTTGTGTGACCCCAGGGCATGGGGGAGGAGGCCTGGGGGGTTGATGGCTCCTTACAAAGAGTTGTGTGGGACATCTCCCTGTCTCCCTCCCACCACCCCACCTTCTGAGATGCCTGGAGCCTCCTGTCCCTGAAGCTGTCAACACAACATAGGTTGTTTCTCCTTGGCCTCCTCCTCTGCAAGCATCAGCGGTCAACAGCTGCTCTGCAAGGTTAGTTTCCACACATCCACCCTTGTTCGTTCTTCAAGAACTATTGACCCATCTTGTGCCACTGTCATTTGCATGCCGGTTCTCTTAGTCCCTGGGGACTTACAGGGGTTTTTTTTGTTTTGTTTTGTTTTGTTTTGTTGTTTTTTTATTTAACTCTATTACCAGCATTTCATTGTGGGAGGAAGCAGGAAAAAAAAAAAAAGGCATGTGTTTAATTCACTGTTTTCCCTGAAGCCACTTAACCTTCCTAAGCCCCTGTTTTTTCATGTGTAAAACAGGGGTAATTATGCCTTCTTCAAGGTCATTACAAGAATTTCATTACAGACCTGAGCACACTGCCTAGCGCCTAGTAGATACACAATAAATACTGGTTTCTTGTCCCTCCTCTACCCATAATTGCATCAGACACCACAAGTGGGCTGGCTCATGCCTTCAACCTTCAGCCCAGGCCTTGTCTCTTGCCACCTCCTGAGGGGTCTTCCCTGCTGCCCACCATTCCCTGCTCCCTCCTGGCCCTTTGGAGACCTGCTTGCGTCCCTGAGCACCTGCTGTGTGCCCACCACA